AAAATAAATTTAAAGTTTCAAAATATTTCCTATTCGAAAACTATTTCATACAAGAACAAGAAAATAGAATTACATAACACGATATATCTATAGATAGCTGTGATATGAATGAAAGTATTAGGAAACTTATAGTAGTTCATTCAATACACAACCACTCACATTCATCTTGCGCTTGCATCGACTGAGGTTGAGCAAGAAATTCAGTCGAAGTTGCGCAAACGTCTGGAGTTGCAGCATCATGTGACCCTGCTCTTGCCCCTGGCAATCCTCTTCCGGCGACGCAGGGAACTTTCGTAGCGCATACGCGTACCTATGCGACGCCTCTTTCAGTCTGTTCTTTCTGTAGAGGACGTTCCCATCTTCGAGGAGTTTGTTCAATAAGATCAGGAGAACGTCTGGTTTTCCAGCGGCCATCGCCCAGGTTGCCGGGCCCAATTTCGCCCCACGGCGTAGGAAACACTGCACCACGGGTATATTTCGACATCCGATCGCTCTGTCCAAAGGTCGCATTCCGTGGAGATCGACGTGCTCGACCGCTGCTCCTTTCTCGAGCAACAATTGCACCAACTTTGGATTGCCCTGGGAATTGTATTGTTCGCAAGATTGTGAGATATACTTTTCGTTGATCTTGTGTAAATAATAAGTGCACGGATTTTTTTAAAGAATGTTACCTGGAAGGCAGCTAGATCTAGAGGAGTTCTCCCTGTATTATCGTTAGTATTAACATCAGCCCCATGATCAATAAGGTTCTGCACGGCGGCCAGTCTTCCTCTCACGCAGGCCCAACAGAGAGCGGTCATTCCTTCTTTATCTCTACTCTCTAGAACGGATCCTTTGTCTAAAAATAGTTCGATCAAGTTTGTGTGACCTTCTGAGGCAGCTAGCATCAGTGCAGTACGATCAGCTGGGTCTCGTTGATCTAGGAGAGATGCTGCATCGTCCAGAACGGTATCGGTGCTGCTCGAGAGTGTTCCTGCAGTCATATTATCGCACAATAATGAATATTTTCACGTCCAATCTTTTTATTCTTATGTTTAATAATAATCCTTAACACTAACCTTGCAGTAATCTTTCAGCCGTACCCCAATGTCCCTCTCTTGCAGCTAACATCAAAGGAGACAATCCTTTTGCGTTCACAGCTGTTGGATTCGCTCCTCGAGCCAACAATGCCGAAACTGTGGCCGTGGAACCGTTTGCAGCAGCGATAGTCAAGGCAGTCTCGCCTATCAAAGTATCAGGACGATCTACGATCACTTCGGCCATGTCTAATAAGTATTCCACGATAGATTCGTGACCTTGAGCCGCTGCGGCGACCACAGCTTGCTGAGCAGCCTCTTCTCTACCTATTTCTTGAGATCCTTCGGTTTCACTCACGTTGGTTGGAACTACCCAATCGCAAGCCAAAAGGTAACCAACCACGGACAATCTTCCGTGTCTAGCTGCGTGAACCAAGGGACACTGTCCTGCCATGTCCGTGTGACCTAACGAAGCTCCAGCAGCGGCTAGTCTGAATTAAAAATATAAATATATTTCCAAATTTGTTAATCATTCCTTTGATATCGCAAAAACTGAGCATATTATTTCAATTTTTATAGCATCCTGTATTCCAACAATCATATATTCCATTCACACTTCGCTCACCTTCTGACAACATCGCAATGGCCACGAGCAGCCGCTAACGAGAGCGCTGTACATCCCTGGCTGTTCGTCAACTCGACATCGGCTCCAAATTCCAATAACAACGATACCATCTCGACAGAACCTTCGTGAGCGTACATGCAAAGAGCTGGAGCATTGCCCAGATATTCCGTGATGTGATTCGGAGATGCTCCTGCCAGCAAAAGCAACCTCGAAACCTTCACGTTCGGGCTGTAGATGTTCCTCAGTGTGCACAATGCGGAGGAGACGCATTCCGTGGACGATGCTAACCAAATGGCCTGATAAACAAGAGAATGTTTCGTAACTGAAATACTATTGTAACGCAAATGGATTTATCCTACAAATGCAAATGAGGAACAGGTGATTTACCTGTAGATCGCGCGAAGGCCAACACGGAGCAACGCCTCTGTAAACGTGCGCCTTCAATATATGGTGACCCAATTCTAAAGCTTTATCGCCATCTAACGGTGCCTGGAGTCTGGAGAGCCTATACGCGATGGCTGCGTGACCTAACCTCAGGTCGCAGAGAAACTTGGTCGATTCGCCCTCGTCCCTTCTCATCAACCACTCCCTGAACGATGGATGGAAGAACATGTAGGTATTGTCCAGACGTTTCACGAGGAATCCAGAGAGCATCTGATAACGAGAGAACGATAAGTTGTCGTACAACAAATGGGCGGGTTTGTAATTGCGAAAAAGAAAATAGAAACGTTGCGGAGAATATTTTTTATTATAAAGAAGAATATAATTGAGACTTACTTAATCCACTTGAAGGTAGCCATAGACAAGAGTGGATAAATTAATTATATAATTTATTTTTTAGATATTTATCTTTTAGATTATATCTATATATTGATTATTTAAAAAAATTTACTTTGAATCTCTGTAGAAAATCCTCCCATGAAACGAAATGGTCCGTGTTCAGAGAATTCACCGAGTAGAAGATTTCAGGTAAAGTTAGAGGATACAGAGCAGCTAGGCAAACGCCTAATAGAGGTTGAACCTTGTCGAACGATGTTGCTGTAGGGAATCTGAGGTTGAAGTGCAATTGGAAAATCTGCGCCAAGGAGACTGGCAGTACCTGAAACATCCAATTCCAAATATATTAGATTAACAAATTTCTGTACTCTCTTTCTATTGTAAATGAACGGATTCTATTCACCTTATAGCTGGCAGATTTAGCCACCAGATGACCGCTCTCGATAAGATCGAGCGTCAATTTCGCGAAGAGAAAGCTACCTCTAGCTAAAGCTAATAGATGCGAGGCGAATCTGGTTTGATTCGCACTGCAGGATGATTCCGCTTTGCCATTCACCGATGCAGTGACGTTTGTTTGAATGGCAGGACTCTGAGCTAATCTATATCCAATGTAATCAGAGAGATCTCTTGTCACGTTACTTCCGGCGCTGTCGTTTGAGGCTCTGTCTAAGGAGACCCTGGTGTAAGGTAGTTGTTTGGCGCATTCTAGCAATTGCGTTCTGACTGTGCAGACAATTTTTAACCAGCTAGGAAAGTTTGGAGCATGCCTCGTTAAAAAGGATGCTATTGTGTCGCCTCTATCTGGTCTATGGTACTCTGCTTCGCAGACAGCATCGATTAAAATCACCTGGAAGATGATTCATATTGAGAATATAGTTTCTTTTTTCTTTTTGTTAAAAAA